ACTAAACCATGCAACATTGATTAAAAAAATGCGTGTATTATGAGCGGACATACAAATGCACAATCCGTTCACCAAAAGATCACAAACCGGATGTTTGAAAGATAGCCAAAGTTCACATAATGCACATAATACGGTAGACAAATTCAAACTACATCCAAGAACTTGAAATTGAGGTGAAGAAGATGGATCTTCACGACTTCCTCGCCTGAGTCATCCGTCTGTCAATGACTTCGGTCAATGACACTGCTGTAGGCATCGGTGGCGGGTGGAGGATCGCCTGAGTCATCAGACGAGGCGTTGTGGTCGTCACTGTCGGAGGAGGAGAGGACGACCAGCCCTTTGAGCCGTCGGACGGCCCTGTCTTTCTGTCGTTTGAGCTTCGCCACTTGAGTTGCCTCCACCGCTACCTCCACTGCCTCGCGCTTTGACTGCTCAATGGAAGCTGGAGCTCCTTGGCGTTCTTTCGAAGGAGCCGCCGAGCATCCGTCTCCACCGTTGCAAGCGACCGGCGGTACACCCAAGCGAGGAACCACTCGTCCTCATATCGGTGGCGCACGGACTGCTCCGCCGCTTTTGTTTCCCTTGCCCGATCCCTCTTGCGGCGGGCGGCGCGCGCGTACGATTTCGGAGTGCCTGTCCGTGCGGGCGGTGCAGGCACTAGCACCCGCCGCTGCCTCGCGTGGTGCAGCAAACGACTCCTCGCAAAGCTGCACGTGTGCAGGGAGGTGCCTGCGCCGGTGTCCTCGCTGCGCCGACGGGGAGAGGCGAGGCGGCAGATCCGGAACTGCCCCCCGTGTCCACCTTGGACCTCTCGAGGGCAATGTGGAGGGTCAACTCATCGTCGATGTCGGGGTCAGAGTCGGAGCGGCTGTCAGAGCTCGACATGGGCGCCAGAGTGGATCAAATCGGAGAAATCGAAGGAGGAGAAGAAGAGACGGAGCGAAATCGGAGTGAGGTAGGGTTTATGGATTGGAGATATTTGTGGCGGACGCGCCGGGTCGCGCCCGGGCCGATCTATATTCGCTCCATATTTGGGCTGGATATGAGGGGCGTCGGACAGCCCAGGCATTTGACGCCAATTTGAGACGCCCATCGGGGTCGAGTTTCGTGACCGGGCAGTCCGTC